CCCAGGGTTCCTTCAGCAATGGAGTGTGGCTTGAGAGTTGTAAGCTGAAATAAACTCTTTCCTCCCCAAGCTGTTTACAGTCATGGTGTTTTATTACAGCAATAACCTAAAACACAACTTCAGGAAAGAACATTTGTAAAAACTTGCCATAACCAGACATCTTTAGGCATGACATATAATTTAGGAAGTGTCTGTGTGATAGACTTTTTGTTACAGAAGGATGGCATCAATTAGTTAGAATTGTTCTTCATCTCTTATGTTTCTCAATATGCATATAGGGATTTTTAACCTTTGGTATGAAGTTCATGTGTTCATATTTGAGAGCTGCACACTTAAGAGTTTGGTGCAACAGTTCACGGCATTTTGCATATGGTTTTAGGGTTCCTATCAATCCAAAATCCAGTGTTTAAACTGGAAACCAAATTAAATTGATATCTTTGAAGCCTTGACACTAAAATCAGGTCAAATGAATCATCCCTGCGTACTTTGAGGAAACCTAATTCATAACTCATCACTGCCTCTTTTATGATGATATCTTTGTTCTGTGCTAAGCCTGAGCTTTCCCTCTTCTATTTTTTTTTCTCCTGAACATCAATCTTACAGCATGAGACTGGGCCAATCCACAGTGCACTTAAGAATTGATTGAATAATGGATTTAGCCTGGATTGTAAAACTTCATGAAAATGTATGCCACCTCATTTTTTTTATTATTATATATCTAGCTCTCAACACTGCCTAGCACAACACAGAAGGGACATTGTAAATATTTATAAACATTGAGAGACTGAGTTCTCTTTATTGGAAATGACTGGCTGATGAAGCTCGTTAGAGAGTCCACAAAGTACAATTATTTTTTGCCAAGATTTCCGTTGCTTCCACAGCTATCCCTAACTCTTCAGACATCACAGCTGAAGCTCTTTGTATTTTTATCCCAAATTACCCAGGAATCCTGGAATAACTATCCCATATGTAATAATAATCCATATACTTATTACGACACATACTCTTTGAGTTCTCAACTCTGTCATGTATCTGTAATGATTTCATACATATTTTTGATCATGTAACATAAATGATGAACTCAATATGCTAACTATTGGCCCAATCACAGGCCATGTAGATATACCTCTCACTCGCCCAACTGGAGTTGACTACCCAGAAAAGAGGAGCACTGTAGGAAACCTGACATGATACAGCAATGTAAATGGTGACGAGTAGAAAACATACCCTGAAAATGCAGGAGAGAGTTCTTCGCTATCCTCTCAGCCCAGAATATTCTGCATATGTCTTCATTTCCTCCCTAATTATTGTCAATATTTTCCATGTCATTTTAAGATAATGTGATGCCTCAAATTAACCTGTAAGACCCACTGTCCAAAGGACCAGGCAAAGTTTTAGAATGCTGGGAGTTGTAGTTCTTAGAAAACAATGCCTCATGAGAAAATACAGTGGCCTTTATAGTAGCTTTTGAGTTTTTGTTCATAAAAGCCCCTTAACATGTGTCTCAGGGCCACTCTCCTGGGACATTCAAGGGAGTGGTCCTGACCAAAGTCCATCTCTTGATCAATATTTAATATTTAACAGTGCTTGCCTCAAATTTGACTCCAAATGGTGGAATTGTTTTTTTCTCCAGCAAATCTCTGGATTAAGAATATAAAACAAAGCCGGGTGGTGGTGGCGCATGCCTTTAACCCCAGCACTTGGGAGGCAGAGACAGGTGGATTTTTGAGTTCAAGGCCAGCCTGGTCTACAGAGTGAGTTCCAGGACAGCCAGGGCTATACAGAGAAACCTTGTCTCAAAGAACCAAAAAAAAAAAAAAAAGAATATAAAACAAATCTTCCTTTTCTAGTAATATTTTTTCTCACTTTCTTATAGGTTGAATATCTCTGAAAAACAATAAACATTTTTTTCAGTCATATCTTTACATGGTTCCTTTTGTGGAATAGATGCCTCTAATGGAAGTTTCTCTTTTCTTCATTGTGACATCATAGTACTCACAGCCTTCACTTCCTCAGAAACATATTTCCTCTCTGGGATCCTAGCATCATTTCTTGTACTGTTCCTTACTTATATGTTGTGGTTGGTTGCCATAGCAACCATTATGTGGTTGACAGTTGCTCTTCGATTTAACTTCTTTCTTTTGAATTCAGAATGAGGAACTGATGGGCCAGGTAGAAGGACTGTTTGCTTGCCACACGTGTTTGCTCCATTGAAAAAACATTCACTTAGTACTAACTAGTTTCTTGTTTTTGAAAACCCATTTTCTATTCTTTGAGTACCCAAGTCTTTGTGATAAGTTTTCTTCAGAATTCTAAACAAGTATCTCTGAAACTATTGTAAAGATTATTTCAGGAATAGTTTATTTTCTATAAAAGAAAACTATCTTTGGGATACATATTAAAACGTCTAGAGTTGGGTTATTTGTATAAAATAATGCAACTCAACACTACAGGCTAAAATTACTATGTACTTGTAATACAACTGTGTGCCAGTATACCACACTGCACAAGCACATATTTCGAATGAAAACTATTTCTTCCCTTTCCCTTTATAAATGCAATAGGCCTAAGAGCTTTGATTTCATTGTATTCTCAAAGACACTTTTGTCAAATTAAGTAAAAATATCTGCCTCTTTGTGCTGAAGAGTATGATTTTCAGTTTAGCTCTAACTGTAAAGCCTGGGAGCACCACACTGTTAATCTGGGATTTTCTCTGAATGTGACATAGATGCAGGGTATGATATATACACATACATGGGACTATGGTGTAGATTCAAGGGTATGGTATAGTTGAAAGGTATGGCATACATGCAAGTATATCATAGATATAGGGTATGGCATAGATGCAGTATATGCCACAGGTATAGCATATGACAAAGATGCATGGTATGGCATATGTGCAAAAATACAGCAAAGATACAAAATATGGCACAGAGACAGGCAAGGATAGTTATAGAGTGTATAGCGTATATGCAGGGTATGACATAGATGCAAGGTATGGCATAGATACAGACATATGACATAGGTACAGGGTATGGCAAAGATGCAGAATATTGCACAAACATGGGTAGAGCATAGGTACAGAGGTATGTCATAGGTACAGAGGTATGGCATAGGTGCAGAATATGGCATAGAAGCAGAAGTATAACATAGATGCACGGTATGTCGTAGATACAGAGATATGGCATATATACAGCCCCACAGCATAGGAAATGGAATCATGTGACATTAAAAGCAAAGGCTTTGGGAAAAATAGATTTTGATTCTTGATTCAAACAAGTAGACCTAGGTTTAAATTCCATTCCTGGCTTTCTCAAGTTGTAAGACATCATCAGGTGCTTAACTTTTACACGTCTTTGTTTCCTCATTCATAAAATAGGATAAGATCATCACAGACTTTGTAAGTTTGGGACAAGAATCTGATGAGACAATACAATGCACGTAAAACACAAGTCCTGCTGTAGTTTTTTATAATCCCAGCTCTGAGTGAATTTGTCATCTTTAGTTCAGAGTCCAGTGAGAAATCTTAATTGTAGAGTCTGGTAAAGAGTGTTTGCCTTGCCCTGTGCAATCTGGTATGCTTCTTTATCTACTTCATTTCTATTTCTATCTGCAAAACTGGAGCACATGCAGCCTGATCTGCCCGCTTCACGGGATTTAAGAACAGCTAAGTCAACAAATGGAGGAACGCTATCTTGCTGCTGTTCTAATGAAATGTGCTGCCCAGTCAAATAGAGTCCTAGAGACATGTTAAACTCAGCCAAAACCACGTCTGACATGAATTGATTATCAGGTGTTGGCCTTTATGACTTGCTGCTTTGTGGTAACCTTGTGGTGCTGATATGTCAAGTCTCCAGACAGGCTGCTTACCCAGCAAGAGAAATTGATTGAGAAAACGTCTTACTTGAGCCTGTATCAGTTCCCTTTGATCTCCATGAAGCAAAACTATATTTCCTGTGACAAAGTCTTGCAAAACATATTTCTTTGGGTAAATGTCATCTTTCAAAATGTACCTTCCAGGAATTGAAGTTAAAAAAACATAAGCACATTAATGTTAATATGTGAAATATAAGAAAATAATCAATAGAAGCCCTGAAATGTAGAGACTTCATCTTCCTAAAAATAATACAATATTTTGTCATTTACAAATTATTAATGTTTTAAAAGAAAACCCACACAAATTTGAAAAACAAATATTTAAAGTAGATTTTGTTACATATGATATATTGACTCTTTTGTAAAAATAAAACTGCATAGCCAGAGACTAAACTATAAAACTGGACTGTGGTGTTTATTTTGCACAAGACAGTCAAGTTTTATATTTTAAACATCAGCTGCTCTATATGGAAATATGAGTTAGAAGCAGAAATGTTTCTTGGAGTCTTTATAAGGCTCATACATTTTGGGATGACAGATTAAAAGTGGCTTGTAATAAATCCCTTTTTGAGGAAAAAAATGCAATAAAGTAACAGAAGAACAGTAAAGGTTGTTTGAAAATGACTAATGGAGAAATTCAGTAGAATCTCCAAGAATACCAAAATTAAATGTCAAAACTGATGTGAGGTATCCCAAAGTGGCCAGATTCCCAAATTAACAGAGTCAAGGAGGAACTGCGGAAACGCACATGATTGCTTTTTAAGGGAGGGCTTGCAGTCATTCATATGTTCTTTTTCACTGTTGCAAACCTTAACTGTGTTTCATTTTGCAAAAGGGCTTCCAACATTTTGAAAACTGAACCTCAGAAGAAGAAGCTTGATTTTGAGGTCATATCTTGAATTAGAATTTTAATTTTTACTGCGCATAAAAGTTAATTGTACTTATTCCTCATATCTTTGAAAGCAAGGAAACAAAGAATCATTGTACAGAGTTTTGATTCAATATTTTGTAAAAAGTATAGCATGGATTTTAGGATATTCTGTTAAAAATAAGATGTTAAAGCTTCTTTTGCATGTGTTATGTGTGTATCTGTATATAAGCAATGAACCACTTTTTCCCCCCAGGGTTGTACTGAAGTAGTGGATTTTCCTAACGTAATGGCCAAGGGCATGAACTTGAGCTTTTACGTCCCCTTGGTTTCAAATAATGGAAATTACACATGTGTGGTTACATATCCTGAAAGTGGACGCCTCTTTAACCTCACCAGGACTATGACTGTAAAGGTGGTAGGTAAGCATGGCTTGTCATTCAAAAAGTGTGTGAAACAAGGACACTGAGTTTATTCAGGCTCTTAATGGTTTGTTATATAAAATTATGAAAACTCTATTTTTAAAAAGATACAGAATTTATTCATGTTCTATGCCCAGAGCCCATAAGCAGATCCATTTACACAGTAAGTATTCAGTAACTTTTGATTAGCTTATAGCATATGTGAGCGAACAAGGAGCATGCTAGGGAATGAGAACACAACTGGATTGATGGTCATTCATGTTCTACCAGGGCCATCAGTTGGTCACATGGCTTTAATTCAGGTCTCAGTTTTAGATGCATAGCAAGACTGAGGGAGAAAGAGAGGGGATGGTGGACTATGTTTAGCATGTTTATGTATAGTTAAGTGTATTTGACCATATTTCTCCATACCCATCCTTTAGTAGATGAGAGTACTGCTTAGAGGCACTATAAGAGTTAGAAATCCCAAGCTCTTGTCATGACTTTTTCCTCTTGTAAACCTGCTGTCAGATTCTAAATAAATTACCCAGTTTAAAAAAAGAAAAAGAAGATTATAAGAGTTTAACACAACACAAATAAAATCTAAAACAATTCTGTAGCCACGATTCTTTGCTTACTTTTGAGTTGGTAATTAATTCACATGGAAAAGAGAATAGATTTAGAATCTGTTTTAGAAGCCAGATAAATTATATAGCATTATATTCACATCAGCAGTTGTTTATAATTTATTTGCTTATAGTATGTAGTTTTCTCTGTATTTGTTAAGGTAATAATGGGTATTCTTAGTGACTGATTTGTAGATATAAAAGTTGGCAGACACACAGTGTAGAAGTCATTCTTAACTAACTTTCAAATGACGTGAGTTCAATTTTTTTTCCTTTTTATATTGGATATTTTATTTATTTACATTTCAGATGCCTTCCACTTTCCTCATTTCCCCTCCCTATAAACCCTTCATCTCATTAACCCTCCTCCTTTTTGTTTTTATACCATTTTAATTACATACAATTATTGAGGTCAGTTCTAAGTTGAGGAACTACCAATACAATAGATGCAAATAGTCAAGGAACATGCACGAGAATGAACACAAATAGTCAAAGAACAAGCAAGGCAATAAACAAAATTCCAAGAACACTCCTGTGATCACTTTTTAAAGCTACAAAGCATTGGGTATTTATTTAACTTCACTAAGAGGTTCATGAGTGTATTTTACTTAAGTTGTTTTATGTAATTTATTTTGGACAATGCAATTGTGATGTGAATTGTATCTACCATACTTTAGAGTTCTTTAAAAATTTCTTTTAAAAGTGAAATATACTCACATACATACGATTAATATATGGAGAAATCTGAGTAAGAACCTAGTCAGTCTATAAACTCTTAAATACTATACTAGATTTGGAGAGATGGCTCAGTGCTTCAAACCACTGTCTTCTCTTCTGCAGGGTACAAGCAATCTGATACACGCTTCTGGCCTTCATAGGAACCAGACATGCATTTGATGCACAGGCATAATTGCAAACAAAACATTAATAAGCATAAAATAATAATAAACACATTTTTAACAACATAGCACTGCAAAAGTCTTTCAAGGTAATTTAACACATATATAATACAGACCATACAAACATCAGCATTTTCACGTGTGGACATTTTGCTAGTAATCCAGTATCAATAAGTCAACCATATTATTAAGAACAACAGGGTCCTTAAACTTAAGGATAAGGATTCACTTACTATTATCCAGGTCCCATACTAGACATTATGAATTTTGAGGGGAAGAAATACTTGGATAATAAGTGTGATTCATATTCATGGTTTACAAATTGACAACAGGTAGTTTCACCTGTCAAATACTGTGAGAAAAGTAGTTTAGAGATTAAAATAGAAACAAAAAGAGAAGAAATAAGACATGAAAGCACTTATTTCTAATATGGCAAGAGACATCTTTGTCATATGAGCATAGGAAATCAACAACCCTGATAAAACAGTTTACCTTCCTGAAAACTTCAAGCGATTCAATATATTTTGTTTGGACTCTTGCAAAATAAAAACTGTTTTTCTGTGCTCACAACACATCTGTCATGAATTGTGTGAATTTTCCACACCAAGCAACTCTTCAATTCCTTAAGATACTGTTTCCTAAATTTTGATTGATTTTGAGGCTAACTGCCTGGAGATAGCACAGACCCTGCAGACTGCTGGCTTCATCTTCAGAGAGTCTGAGGAATTTACATGCTCTTGGCTCAGGAACTGGGGACTAGAGGAAATAACAGAGCATTATGATGAAAGATGCTCATACCACCCACAGCACTCAATAAAATTAAAGAGCTCCCATGAGTTCTGTGTTAGCAATAAGTAATAGTGATAAATACATATTTCCTATTACATCACATTTTGATTATTTTCAACGAGTGAAGTCCAGGAATTGACCATATATTAGACGGCAGGCCTTCGCAAGAATTGACAAACTATGCCAGGAAGTTGAACAAGTTAGCCGCAGAGCTTTGCGTAAGCCTAAATGATTTAACATCCTCCTTTTGCATTTCCTATCATAGGCTCACCGAAGGATGCATTACCACCCCAGATCTATTCTCCTAATGACCGCGTTGCCTATGAGAAAGAACCAGGTAACTATAGGTGTGCTTCTAGGGTCTGCTTAGATTCTCTTACAAGAAGGAAAACATAGCTTAGTGTAAGACAGTAAAGATTAATTGTAAGGAAATGTACAGATTTAAAGTGAAGCATGATCAAAAGCCATAGCATGTGGGGATCAGCTGCCTCATCAATCTCAAGGCAGCCTGGGAGGTTTAGCTTCTTTCCCAGGATCCTGTCCTTTGTTCTCTGCTCCTTGTCCTCCTCTGTGATTATTGTTTGGTGAAAATGTGACTTTACTCAGTCTTCTGTTTGCTGAGGCTGTAATAACAGCACAAGTCAGCTTTTAAGCCTCTGCTTCCTGTTCTGAGCATGTAGCATGGAATCAGAGCTGAGAGAGTATCATGTGAAAAACAAATCCATGAACACAGGGTTCAGAACATTGTCAACTGGTCGTCATGTCTCCCTGGGATGCTGATAAGTTCTTCGTAACCTTTTAATCTAGAAAGAAATCATTTATAAGTTACCAAGGAAGAGATTATTCTGTTCTTTTGACTGAAAGCCTCCTACAGTAAAGCAGAAAAGTCACAGAAAATTCTAACACTTTTATATCACTTCTATACAGTAAAACTATTCCAGACTCAATGAAATATATAGAAATGTGGACTGACAGTTAGAGAGCCAGAGAATGTGTGGGTAGATTGCCAAGAACAGAAAGTTCTCATGAGTTTTCATGTATGATTTGCCTTGTAAGAGTATGGGGCATGTTAAGAGGGTTTGCCATCCTGAGGTGAACTGCAGTTTCTAGCATTACTATGAGATTTGTGTAGTAGTTTGAACAATCTTGCCACTGCTGAAGTAAAATCCATCAGTTATCCTAGTATGCTTCATCTACTTAGCATGCCACACTTTAAACACATACCTGAACTCATGTTGATTTTACCTTTCTTAGTGAAACAATTGTGTCAAAGTCTAGAGGGAAAAGTTAGAGAAGCCATGCTTTGGAGTAGAAGGTCTGGAGTAAATGTTAGTCTGCCAAAGCCAAGATAATTAGAGGTGTCTTCAGAGTCTAAGCAATAGTGAACCTTAAAAATAAACACAAAGCAGAATTAGTCTCAGCAGACTGGCATGTTCCAATCTACGTTAAATCCTTACCTAGTTCTTACCAACAATTTGACCTACAAATAACCTTTAATATGTAGAAAAGTCAGCTTTTGCTTCTGTAGGACATTAACTTTTTAAAAATTTCATGGTATTTGGTTATTAATAAATATCTAGGTGAAGAAAAACTTCCTTGAGAAAGAAGGGAGAGGGCAATACAGAAGTAGAGGAAAAGTGGAGGAATATGTAAGGATATTTTTGAAAGTTGTAGATTATAGGTTATAGATGTGTGTGTGAGATAGAGAAGAGAGAGAGAGAAAGAAAGAGAGAGAGAGAGAGAGAGAGAGAGAGAGAGAGAAAGAGATTGATTGAAGTTATGCCACTTGAGGTAAAAATGGTCCGCCACCAAAAAAAGGATAGACTACTTAATAAAAACCCCAGTGTCAGAAATAAGAAATATTTTTTCAAGTTGATGGGCAGAAGAGTCCATAAATCTCCCCATACAATACAGACTTTTACTGTTTTCCTTGATTGCATCTAAGAAATTAAAAGTCAGGTCCTACTGACCATACAGCATACTTGGACAGAAAACTTAGAAGAATCAATCTAAATCTAACTTGGAAATTTCTTCCCTGAAACCTAGCTTTCATAATATGGGAAAGAGATGTTCAGGTTTCCAATGGAGAGAAACCAATCAGTAGCCCTATTAATCTGTAAAACCTATGAACTGCAATAGCAGAACAGCAAGATCTTCCAAAAGGTGCACTAATGAATGGTACTTATATACCAGGGCTAAGTGACAGCCACGTAATTAAACTTAAAGTTTGCTCAAAAGGTAGGAATCCATGCCTAACTCTGTAAACATAGCCAGCTAGCGAAGTCATCAAATGGAGAGGAAAACTTGCCACTGCCATGTGCCTAAACCAGTATAGTTTCTAACTTCTATCTAAATACCCACAGCTAGGTGTAGCTCTCATCTGTCATCAGAGAAGCTTATGTTTGTAGTGGACAAGGACATACTGATCAAGATGTAGAGGACAGCTGACCATGGGGTGCGCATCCACAGCTGATATATCTATAACAGTCTCTTCATGCAAGGCTCACAGAATAGATACACATATAATTGTATATCTTTAATTTTAAGTACCTGTTTGGTAGACTCCTCCACATCTCCTGGCTCTTGTATCCTTTCTGTTTTAACTCTGTCAGTGTTTCCTGAGCTTGAATGAGGTGATGCAGATTCCTCGTTTAGGGCTAGGTACTCACCAGCCACTTACATTCGTCAGTGCTACAGCCACTGATAATTTGCTCATTGTTTCAGTTAATAACATCCATATCCGTGCTCATGCAAACAGTCATAATTAAATTCAGGAGTCCATTAGAAAAGTAGATGAGCCGTTTGGGAAAAGGTGTTAAAGAGAGTAGAGGGGTGGTGGTCATGGCAGAATGGAAATAAATAAACTTTATTGTATAAGTGTATATGAATTTTGAAAGGATAAAAAAGAAATAAAGGAAAACACAGACAGGTGTATATATTTAGTACGACCAAGTTCACAGCAGTTATGCTAATCCTGACCAGATTGTTAGCACTGTTATCCCTGCTGTGAAACATCCTAATGTCTTAAATTGTCTCAGCAACATAGCTTAGAACTGCTGCTTTCAACTAAGCTTCCTTTGGAGACGAGGATTCCCTGGTCAGTTTTCTTGTGGAATGACATCACTCTGTCTTCCGTGGACAAGGACCCATCATCTACAGACTTTTATTGGTCAATGTGGTAGTTTGAAGGAGAATAACTGCCACTCCCATAGACTCATAAATTTTAATTCTTAGTGCCCACTTTGCGGAACTGTTTGGGAACAATTATGAAACATGATTATGAGACATGACTGGAGGTGGGCTTTGGGGTTTCAAAAATCCCATGTGGTTCCCAGTTACCTCTCTGTTTGGCTTGTGTTTTTCCACAAGAAATAATTTCTCAGCTACTGTCCCAGCACCATGCCTTTGGCCTGCCTCCATGCTCTCTCTTATGATGGTCATCGACTTTAACCCTCTGGAACCATGAACTCCAAATCAAATGTTCTCTTTTATAACTTGCCTTGGTCATGGTGTTTTTTAACAACTAAAAAAAATTAAATAAATAAAACCTAATTAAGTCACACTTTGTTTATGCCTTCATAACAAAATAACAGAAGTGGAGGAAGATTGGCCTGAAAAGAATGTACTCAGAGTTCTTCTGACATTTTAGAAGATATTTATTTAGTGTTAAAAATGCCCATCCTTGTAATTTCATGTACACTTGCTGACTTCTCATCTTAGTTTTATCCTTTCATGTGTTTGGTGTTGTAGTAGGTTGCCGTACAGTGGCTACTAAAGAATCAGACACATATAGTCATATGAAATATATGAAATATACATATTAATGGATTAATATAGGTTAACTTCATCTATTAATGTTTTTAGGAGAGGAGCTGGTTATCCCCTGTAAAGTCTATTTCAGTTTCATTATGGACTCCCATAATGAGATCTGGTGGACCATTGATGGAAAGAAGCCTGATGACGTCACTGCTGACATCACTATTAACGAAAGGTATTGTAGCTGCATGCAGTTGCTCTAGTCTTTGTCTGTCTAAGGTCTTGATAAATACTACTCAATGTACATGATTAATATTTTTCTTTTAACGAATTAGCAAGATTTTTAAATCTTCAGGGGCTGCAGGGTCATTAAACTTGCAATCCAATTGCACACACTTGTCAGATTGCATGCCAAAGTTTGAAGTTACATTGTCTTTAGGCTACATATCTTCATCACAGTGAACCCACAGGACAGGCACCAGATTGTCTTAAGCTCAACCAACTTCCCATGTTTCTGATTCTCACTTAGAAACATAAGGAGTGTATCTTCCACATGAACAAAAAGATGAATAAGAAGGATACATGTTGGCCTGAGGTTCTATGAAAGTACTGTGTTATCTTTCTCAATCCTGGAGGGTGGGTCTAAATATTTCATCTTACATACGTATGTTTGTCTCTTCTATTAAAGTAACCATGTTTTTCCTATCTTCCCTTGATACTTGAGAATCACTTATTAAATATTAACTAACCACATTTTTGTTCTTTAAATTTCACTTTTAAAAGTAAATGTTCAAAAATCCCAAAGAGCTAATTTTTAAAAGCCTATGGGTAATAATACATATCTTTCTTGATATAACTACTTGGGTCAATTCATTCTTAAGTAAATTTGATATTTGTAAGAATGTAACAAAGAAGAATGTACAGGTCTCTGGAGACAAAAGATTTCTCCATAGTGAGGTATAAATTGCTAGAGAGAATTGGTTTGCTCCAGAAACTAATAAATCACAGTGATCACATATGTGACAGAATAGTTGTTAAGACCCTAAGTTTGGTCACCTTGTGCAAACAGACCTTAAGATAATTGAATTTCTACAATTCAAATCTTTTTGTTCCTAGTAGTAATGTAAGGTTTTGTAGAAATTATAAAATGTCTTCTTTGAATAGCCTTTTTTCTTACTTATTTCATTGCGCAAACTGTGACATATCAGGTGTCTAAATAGTATCTGATAAATAAGTAATAGAGAAGGAGAGGATGTTACAGGAAGAATTCTTAGGGGATTCCTTCAGTTCAGGGGGATTAAGGGGCACTCCACAAAAGAAGCAGCGTTCAAATCAAACTTGCTAAATTAAGAAATGAAAGGAAAGCTGGTAAAGAGAACATTGTATGCATAGACTTGTATGTTTCAGAAGCAGAGAAACAGAAGAAATGATGAATGTTTTAGCTTAAGGGACAATTATTGATCATTTCAAGAATTCTGAGAATTGCAAATCTCATCTTCATAATAAACAAATGCTTTAGGATAGCAAGGTCATGTTATTCTACCTTGCTGTTAGTAAGATACAGTGTTCCACAGAACAAGAAATTAGAATGGAAGAAAACAACTGAGCCTCTAAATGATGTTTATGAATGATAGTAAGTCTAGTCTAAATGAAAATGTGGATATTGATCAGCTAAGAGAGGGATATATTTAGATTCCACCCAGACAGTTAGTTCAAAAGGAATTAAATAAAATCTTGCTCTTAAACACAAAACACCTCATTTTAAAGTTACTGGAGTTTGGATATATTTATTTCACAGCTCGATTTTATCATTCTGAGCTATTTCTTCTCTTCCTATGGTAGGACTCAACTATGCAATTTCAACATCTCACAAAAAAGCATTCTGTCTCTGTTTGCAAGTCAAGCTTCCAGTGTCCCTCACTGCAACAGTTACTATGGGGTTAAAATAGCTCACAAGAGCACTCATAGAGTTCCTGTTCAGCCTTCCAAGTGTTCCTGTAAATAATTCATATAATACATTCCTTCAAAAAGCAGCCAAGACGTGCAAAGTTTAGTGACATTGTCCAAAATACATAGCATTAAATGACCAAAACATGCATCAAATCCTAAATGAGTCTGATTCCAGATGATCCTTTGCAAGCTGATACAGACATTGTGCCTCAGCATCTAGAGCAAAGATGAGATTTAGTTGGGAAGAAAGAGACTCTAGCATTGGGGTTTGTCCAGCATTACAGTAGTGAGTGGTATGACGAGAACTTGTGAGCACCCCATCTGCCCTCCCCAGGCCCCTCGAGTCGCTTACTTCTGATTCACACGGCGAGCATAGGCATTATATCTCACAGATATTTTTGATTTGCTTCTCCTTGTGTGTAGTGTAAGTTATTCTCCAACAGAAGATGAAACAAGGACTCAGATTTTGAGCATCAAGAAAGTCACCCCTGAGGATCTCAGGCGCAACTATGTCTGTCATGCTCGAAATACCAAAGGGGAAGCTGAGCAAGCAGCCAAGGTGAAACAGAAAGGTAATGGATGCACCCAGCCGATGCCTCTGTGAACTCTCAAAATAACACAGTGCTGAATAGGAAATAAAAGAGAGAATTCCTGCACCCACATTGGACACAAAACAATGAGTCAGTTAAATGAAAAATCTTAAGAAAAAGTTTGTGATAATGCTCAGTATGTTGGTTCTGATACTATCAACACCTTTCTGTCTAAATGTTGCTTGAAAAAAAAATCCTTGAATACATGAATACCATAATAAAACACAATTTCTTATCTAAGATAATCATGAAAAAATAAAAATATTCCAAGTGAACAAAGATGTAACAGAATTGCTAGAGTCACGTATGTTCGGTAAAACACAAAGATACCTCAGAAGTAACTGAAAGCAGGATTCAAGAGTCACAAAAATGATTGTGCCATGTGACCTCATCCTTTGGGAATTTTTCCTGAATTATGCACCCACGGCTATTCTTAGAAGTATATAAGAGATTGAAACATAATTAGCAGCCATGTATTTGTGTAGAAGAAGTTAAGGAGGGCAGAGAATGTTAGCATTAGTTAATTAACATTAATTCTCATAAAATTTCAAATTCACATTTTAAACATGTATCAATATTTAGGCAGTTTTATAATGTTATAATTGATAAAATAAAACTTACTAAAATATGATTTAGCTTGATGTTATAAAAATTACTATGTTAACATCTGTATTTTCTATAATAAAGAAATATTATAAATCGTTCTTGTGTGAGCTGATGCTCCTAAAACTTATTGCCCCAATTTCTCTTTGGGTCTTGCCCCTAACATATGTCCCAACCAATTGGTCCCTTCCAAAATATTTCCCAGTGGTATGGAGTAAAGTTAACAGTGACATCACATTGTAATTATGTCATTCTTAAGCATCCTAGACCCTCACATTTGATACAATTTATAACATTTATATAAAAAATGAAAAGGCTGACATTGTTGCATTTGCATTGGGCTTGAATCTCCTTTTATTATTATTTTTTTTAAGCTGAGCGACAAGCAAGACACGCTTGAGCCTTTATGCTCCAGATTAGAAAGAAATTGTATATGGTTCTTACAAAGTCTTAAAGAATTTGTTCAGGATGCTCCATTTCTTCCACTCCTCAGAAGCTGCTGTAGGAATGGGAGCACAAGATGCCCACAGCGTCAATGCCATGTCCTGTGGATACTGCAAAATCGCTACTGTCTTACCACATTGGATATTTGTACTCTAGCATCATTCAGCCTGATGAAACCCTAGTTTCCATGCAGACTAGCTCTCTGATGTTGGAAAAGGCAAACAAACACTGACTGAGCCTTATTAGGTTTTTGATAAAAATGGACAAACCAATACCAGTACCTCTTAGATTGTTTAAAAATGCTCAGAACCATCATTGTTATTAATCCATACTATCAACTGTTCAATAAATGCTAGCTCTTATTTCCCCAAGGATTTCATAGGCATTAGTTGGCCAAAAAAAAATCCTGTAATCAAATAAATATTATTATAGTCTAGGTTATGAAATAAATCAAATTACTTTGCTGAAGACCTCTTAGAAACCTTAATATTCAACATTCCAAATGGAGGTCTTCAGGGGTTTTTATTGCTGCAGGCTGGGCATTTTCAATTGTGTTACATTCCAGACTGCTTAAGTACAGGGAATTTGGGGGTTATCTTCTAAGGCATGTACTCTGCAGAGCAGTAATGGAAGATGATTGATGTTGATAACTTATCAAAGAATAGTTTCAAAGCACATAAAACAATGTTTCATGTGTGGGACATGCGCAAGCATGTCTGCCAGCCCACCTGAGTAGCTACAGTAGCACAGAATTGCTCGCTCTGAGTGTAAAGTGGAGACAGTATAGGGGTTGTGAAGGGTCACATGACCCACCTGATCAATGAGGGCTGACACTTGTATTTTACATCTGTACTTCATCAAGACGATGACAGAAAGCACAAGCTGGTGGCCCAAGCTTGTCATCCTGCCATGTGAGAGACTAAGGCAGGAAGTTCAGGAGTTTAAGTCAGCCTTAGCTACATAGCACATCCTGAACTACCTGAGAACCTGTCTCTAACAAACAAACAAACAAACAAACAAACAAACACATGTCAGGAAGAGGTTAACCCACGAATGAGAAGAATTCGATGCAGCAGTCTTTGTTGAAGGCACATTTTATTTATTTAGTTAAAGTACTACATAAACATATCGGAGAGCTATGGCAATCATGTCAAATGTAAATGTGCAGTTTTATGATCAGAGAGTGACAAGGGCTAAGGAGAGGCATGTGGTTAATCACAAGAGAAGCTGCCAAGCCAGCTGCTAAGGAGGTTTGCTACTGCACACTGACACCAAGAGTACACGGAACCTTCACGTGCTCTCCTTTCTCACGAGTGTTTGGAGATGTCAACTGTTAAACTCTAGCCATCATAGCATGTGAGTATTTGTGACTCACTGCACTTGGTCTCTGAGGCGTTGGTGATGCTGAAGGCTTTAGTGTAAGCTCATCGATCGTTAACCATTCTTTCTGCAAGGCCATTAAAAGTCTTCAGTCATTTTTAGCTGGGTTATTTCTTCTAAGTTTAATGTGATGTACAACTCATACTACACACATACATACAGCACATGCAAACACATGCACATACCCACACATACAAGCATGCAGTCCTTTGTTATCTATAAAATTTTTAAATGTTTCCATCCAGCTTGTGAATTGTGAATTTATTAATTTTTGAAAGATTTGTTTTTGCCTGTGTGCATGAGTGTTTTTGCCTGTATAAATATATATAAATATATGTATATACACACATACGTGTGTGTGTGTGTGTGTGTGTGTGTGTGTGTGTGTGT